TGTTTTTGTTCTCAGAGCCAAGCCTGATATAGCACAGGCTTGTTCTGCTGTCTGTGAGTGAGGGGTCCTGGGGCAGCTGGGGCCCAGTCACCTCTGGCCTCTTCGTGGCATCCATCTGGCACCCCCTTCTCCTGCCTGCTGGTGTGTCCTGTGCACCTTCCTTACGGGGAGTCTGTTCTTTGACCCCCCTCAAATAAGGGTGTTCTTCAAGGTGCATGCTGACATTAAAACTGTCAATGTGTGTTCATTGTAGAAATTTTGGAAGAGAACTTTGAATTATTTTGTGTTTTTAACCTATAATCCTACCCGGAACACGGTGTTATCTTTGAGGAGTTGTAGAGAGTTCTTGTGTGGTGTGCTGATTTGTCCCTATTGTTGGACATTTCAGCAGTTTGCAGTTTTTCACTATTAGAAACACTGCTGCAGTGAGCACACCATTGTGGATGAATGGTTTCTCAAGCCTGTGGCTATGCTCTGGGATAAGTTACCTTCAGGGCTGCACTTGGCCACGCTTCTGTGCATTGCTCAGCTTTGCTCCATCAGGGTCAGCAGCCGCTCTGAATACAGAAGGATGTGTACGTGCACCTGTGCTGTTTTCGTCCCCAGACTCGGTGACATGCTCCTTTCTAGATGTCCCCTTGCTCTTCTGCAACTTGTCTTGGTCAACACTCAACGCCTCCCCTCTCCTGGACAGCTGCAGCCTTGTCACTGCAGCCGATGGTCTTCGTGAGACTCAGGACAGCCCCTCGCTCCTGCTACTCGTGGGACCAGGCCACTGTGAGGCCATGGACCATGTCCCAGCCACTCCGTAGGCACATGCTGGCACCTTCATGCCCTTGCACCTCCACGCTTGGTGCACACTTTTGTTCAGGGTCTGTTTGCCCTGCCTCTCTGCAGGCTCCCAAAAGGAGCAGCATAGGCCCCATACCAGGGGAGGAAGGGGCGTGTTCTCACCTAAAGTGCCCCACATACTCACAGGGAATATGTTTATTCTCCAGTGATAACAGAAATAGATAGCAACTGCCTCCATTTTTTGAGAACTTTTGTGCAGACAGCTCTGCTTCTCTCAACAGTTTTCTGAAATGATCCTCCTTAACACAGGGAGGCAGCAACTTGCGGAGGACTTGCAGGAACTTTCCCTGCCAGTTAGCGGCCATGCCTAGACTAGAGCCCAGGTGTTTCTGACTTCAGAGTCTGTGGTCTTCCTGCTTACTGCCCCGGAGACACAAGGCCCCCATGAGGCTTTCCTGGAAGAGTGGTGCATCTGGTCTGCACAGCAAGTGGCCTCATGGTGCCCACTTGGCACACTTGGCATGCCGTCCTGCCCACCAGTTGCACAGCCTTTGTTTGTGCTTACACAGGCTCCTGTCACAGGGCAGCACATATTTGCTGACCAAATTAAACAGCTTATTGCCACCTTTTCTCCTTAGAGAAAAAAATTTTTTTGTAAAAAAATTAAATATCTGCATAATTATTGTTTTTTTCCCCCCTCAATATATTGAAACACAAAAAGTACCGAAAACTGAGTCATAAGAATATGAGCTGTCAGTCCTGACTTTAATTGAAAGTAATATTTGTATTATATGAGGGATCTTCAAAAAGTTCCTGGAAATGGGGCCAGCCCGGTGGCGCACTGCTACAGTGCGCCGCTTGGGAGCGTGGCGGCGCTCCCGCCGAGGGTTCGGATCCCACATACAGACCAGCCGCTCACTGGCTGAGCGAGGTGCGGGCGCAACACCGAGGGTTGCGATCCGGTTGCCGGTTCCGGTACGGGCGCGAGACTGAGAGTTGCGATCCGTTGCCGGTCACGAAAAAAGACAAAAAAGGAACAAAAAAAAAAGTTCCTGGAAATGGGGCCAGCCCGGTGGCGCCCTGCTACAGTGCGCCGCTTGGGAGCGTGGCGGCGCTCCCGCCGAGGGTTCGGATCCCACATACAGACCAGCCGCTCACTGGCTGAGCGAGGTGCGGGCGCAACACCGAGGGTTGCGATCCGGTTGCCGGTTCCGGTACGGGCGCGACACGGAGGGTTGCGATCCGGTTGCCGGTTCCGGTACGGGCGCGACACGGAGGGTTGCGATCCGGTTGCCGGTTCCGGTACGGGCGCGACACGGAGGGTTGCGATCCGGTTGCCGGTTCCGGTACGGGCGCGACACTGAGGGTTGCGATCCGTTGCCGGTCACGAAAAAAGACAAAAAAGGAAAAAAAAAAAAAGTTCCTGGAAAGACTCACATCATGTTTTCAGCTGCTGGCCAGTGCAGGGATCCGAACCCTTGACCTTGGTGGTGTCAGCACCACGCTCTCCCAAGTGACCTAACCAGCCAACACTCACATTATCTTTTAATTCCATTTTTTCACAAACTTTCTGAAGTTCCCGCGAATATTTTGAAAGCTCAAGCTACAAAAAGTTACAAAATGGACACTCAGGGTAGCCTTCCCTGAAGCTTGCTCGTCCTCACACCTGCAGGGATGTGCCTGTCAGCTGGCTCTGTGGTAGGAAGTGCACGTGCCCACCCTGTTCTCACTCAAATTTGTCTTGGAGTCCTGACAGCTTTCAGGATTTCCTGGGACCACTTCATAGTTTTCCAGATTTGGTTATTCCCCCGTCCTTTGTAGCTCCTAATATAAGTCAGTTGTTGCTTGTCCAGATCGTTTGATTAGTGCTCAAGAGCTGACTTTTAGTCACCAGTCTGCATGTCTTGGGGTAAGAAGCATATGGGTTCTCTGGCCCTATTATGGCCTGTATAAGGCAGGACAGAGGACATCTTTGAGGTCACAATTCTTTCCTGTGTGAGGTGTCAGCTGGGCTGTGGTTGCCATGACTCCTCTTTCCTGCCCTTGTGAGCTCACTGGTCAGGCTCAGCACAGTCTGCTGGATGGCACCTCACAGGGTCAGTTTCATGCCCACATGTGGTTTCCAGGAGGATGTGATGATTAAGCCGACATGAAACAAGGGTGAGAGTGTGCAAGGGAGACAGCGGTAGGAGCAGGACCGAGGCGGGCCTCAGAGACCATGTGGGGTGCCAAGTTGCGCAGGCCCCACCTCCTGCTCCAGCTCTGGTTCACCTCTGTGGTCCCTGCCATCCCTGTGGATGTGACCTCCAGGAAGTATTTGACCACGTGTCCTTTCCTAGGCAAACAGTTGATCTTTTGAAATTTGTTATCTCTACATTTTTTTGTGTGGGAGCCAGTTTAATAGTATTTTTTAAATAAATACTATTTTCCCTGTATTCTTATACTTTTCACATCAGAACCCTTAGTGGGTTTCTTCTCTGTATTTCGTTAATCTGTTTTACTGATTCATGTAGTGTCCCGCACAACTCCCTGGGGTGGACTTGGAAGGAAAGCATTTCTTTAAACCCCCAGTTCTTTTTTTTTTTTTTTTTTTTTTTTTTTTTAAAAATACCCATTAGGTACCAGCAACACTCACCACCCCCAACCAAAATGTATTGAGACGCCGCCAAATGTCTGCGTGTGGCGGGCTGGGGGGGTGCACAAGTCGCCCCCGGTTGAGAACCACTGCTCTAAAGAAACTCCAGGGCCAGTACAGGTGGGACCCAGGTCACTGTCGCCCAAGCGATGACGGAAGGCTCTATACAAACACACACTCCGTTGAGATTTACAAAACGTTTTCTTTTTACTCTTCAAAAGTGGCAGAGATCTGAAGGCGGCCATCTTGCAGGGATGAGGAAGATGAACACAGAAAATAAACCCCCAGTTCTAAAAAGGTATCTCCTTGAGAATCGCCAGTGGTGCTGTGGCCCATCAGAGTGGTCAGATTGGGGCCAGTCTGTTAGCAGCCTTGGGTAGAGATAGGTTTGTTGACCCTGCACTTTTAGTTCTTAACATAAATTCCAGTGCTATGGTAAGTGCACTGATCCCACAGTCACTTAAACTAGAACAAAGGTGCAAAATACCAGTAAAAAGAGGTAATTTTGGGGAAATCATAGCGCATGGATACTGCAGAACTGATCTTTTGTTTTTGCCTTTCCTCATTCCAAAAGCTGTTTAGGGTGGGCATCTCGGTGAGTCCTACCATGTCCACAGCCTTAGAGTCCCACTCCCATCTCACTCGCGCTGCATCCTTCCCAGTAGTAGCGGGTAGGAGTACGCAGGACTTAGAGCTGTTCCTGCACTGACTTGTGCATTGTAGCTGCTGTCCCTGAGAAAACAGACCCCTCATGAGAGTTCACGGAGCCACCCCACTGGACATCTCCAGTGTCACTACTCCGCAGCTGCTCTTGTCCTCTCTTCCAGTTACTCTTCTAGTCCCTCCACAGCCTGTGGACCCTTGCCGCCCTGACGCTGTGACTCCTCTGGCCCCACTCTCTCCTGCCTCTGGTTGGGCCATCTGCTTGAAGCATCCTTCTCCAGGACCACTTGTGTCCTCCCTCGCCCCAAAGGGCTTTGCTGGCTCCAGTCATTGCACGAGACCCCTCACTCTGTCAACCCTTTTCCTTCCCCAGAACTCACTTTCTGGCGTGCTCTTTAAGGTATTTTCATTCTCTCTCTCCATTGGAGTGTAAGCTCCAGGAGAGCAAGAAGCATCCCTTTTGTTCAAGGATATGTTCCAGGTGTCCAGAGTACTGTGTCTCCCAGGCACGGGGATCAGTCCTTGCAGAACGAGTGAGTGAATGAACAAATGAGGACGAGAGGGAGGGGAACCCCAGCCTCGGATTTATTGAGCAGCAAAGCAGATGAAAGAGGCATGTGCTTGTGGGTGTGGTCCGCTGTCCTGTCCCTGTGGATGAGCTGTCCTGACCTGCCTCATGCTATCAAAGTGTCACTCTTGCTGATGTGGCTTCAGCTGTCACTGCACTGCACGCTGACTTCACTGCATTGTTTATTCTCTGCACAAAACCGGACAGAAGGTAGCTAAGAAGGTCTTTGACTTAGAGAACTTACAGGTGTGTTCATTCTGCCAGCATATTTTTTATATTTATGAGACTGTAGACCCAGGGCTTGCTAGATTTGGGTCATCATTTGGGTCCACTCTTTGCCAGGTTACTTGTCCTGCTGCCGATTCCTGGATGACAATCAGATCGTCACCAGCTCTGGAGACACCACATGGTAAGTACCTGAGCCAGGGCAGGCAGTACACATGCTGCTGTCCACACTGGCGAGTCTAAATATGTAGGAAATCAGATTGTGGCCATTAATTAGGCCATGTATAATTTAATATGGCTTTAAAATTTAAAATACAAAGTAGCAATGAGTGAACTCATTATATTCTTTGTAGATTACAAAGTTTAGTTTTGAACAACTAAGAACTGAAATACAGGTATTTAAACTACAATTGTGCCTGAAGTACCTGCTGTTCGTTTTTTTCCCTCGTGTGTGTCCACCTGCTCAAGTGATGTTTTGCAGCCTTTTGTGGGCATGGGGTGGGCTTTGCTTGCTCTCTTCTGACAGCTCCATCGCATTGTTAATGGGGAGCACAGCTTAGAGATACCAGGTGTAGGGCCGGCCCATGGCTGACGGGAGAGTGTGGTGCTGATAACACCAAGGCCAAGGATTTGGATCCCTATATAGGGATGGCCGGTTGGCTCACTTGGGAGAGCGTGGTGCTGACAACACCACAAGTCAAGGGTTAAGATCCCCTTACCGGTCATCTTTAAAAATAAAAAAAAAAGTGATACCAGGCATCACAATCCAAGCAGATTATGTCAGACTTCTTTTTTTCTTCCAGATTGCAACTTTTTTTCATAAACTTCACTCATAGTGCATTACCCAAAATTTCTAGTTTTCTTTTTAAAAGCTCAGCAAAAACTTACAGGCCCTGGGAAGGGCGTCTGTACGCAAAATCCTTATAGATTTTTATGATATTTGCCCCAGCCTATAGTTGTCTCCCCCACACCTGATTGAATAGTTACATGTTAAATCACTCACCTCTTTTCACTCAGTTTGGCTTTCTAGATGGCTGTCACTTTTTCGCCCTTAATTCACTGGTTGACAGTATTTCACTGGATTACATGTGACGTCACACGTACAGTGTGGGACAGACATAACTTTTTATGTATGTGCCTTAAAAGTTTTTTTTAATGTAACTCTTGACAGGCATTTACCTCACCTGGGGGAACATAGATGTATGGGTGCCCCAGGTGGTCTGCACCCTGTGGGCATCACGCAGTAATTCTGGAAGGGGATGCAGTGGTTAATGATACCAAGGTTATTAAGAGACCTTTAGGCTGGCCAGTTAGCTCAGTTGGTTAGAGCACAGACTGCTCAGTTTTTGGAGTTCTCGCCTTACTGGTAGATGGAAGGTCAATTAAATAAACTCAAGAATTTTTTCATTTGTGGCATCAAAGCACATAAATTAAGTCACCAGATAATTATTTTATGAGAGTCTTTTCAGACTTAAACTGTCCTGGTGGGTTTTTCTGGTCTTCTGAGGCATGACTTGGTGGCCAGGAGCTGGCAAGGCCAGCTGGCCTATGGCCCAGACGCCCAGTCCTATGGTCAGCAGGGGTTTTCTCATCTGATGAGGGTGTGAGGAGTTCACTGAGATACAAGCCCTTACCCAGCTTGTCAGCAGGGAACTAATAGTATGAAAAGTTGTCCTGGTTGTGTAAATTTCATAGATTCACAAAAGAATTATTATGTAGAATGTGAATCTTGGGAAGACCTTATTTATTAGAAGACATTTTTAAAGGGTTTTCATTTATGGATCATTACTTTCAGACTCCTGTACATGTCTTGCCTCCTTTCTGCAATTCCTCTGGCCATAGAGCAGAAACTCCCAAATCATCTAACTGGTCTGCATTGCCAGGCCAAGTGGGTTTTCCTGTTTGACTAAAACGAACAGATGGTTTTCAGTGGTCCTGCTTTTTGTGAGCCTGTAGCCTTCAGAGCCATCACCACACAGCCTGTTCCTGCTGTGCACATGCTGTCAGGATCTCATCTTTTGACATCCCATTAGGCAGAAGCAAATGGAATACCGTGTGCGGCCATTAGGAACTGATCTGCTGTCCTGTTTGTGACTCCAAGAGAAGGCAGCGGACCTCAGAATTGCTTTTGTTTGTCTGACGTTATCTTATGCCTGCCTTTTATAGGACTACTGGAGGGTGGGGGAGGATGACTAGCACTGCGAGGCCCCGTGGTGTGGAGGGAGCAGCACAGGTAGAGTAGGGTCCTCCCCTCCACCTAGGGCCTTAGCCAGTAGCCTCCTGCCGGCCCTCTACAAACCCAGCCGTGAGCTGAAGTGTGTGGCATGACCTCTAAGTGTTCTGCCTTAAGAGCAACACCAACTCCTTATATGCTGGTGTGTGAGTTGGGGTAGCAATCACAGCTACTCTGACGTCTGTGGCCATGTACTCATTTACATATTCTGTTTGTTTGCTCTGCTGTGATTCCCTTCCAAACAACAGTTGTATTACAAACTTTAAATTTGTCTTAAGTAAAAGTGCAGTGGTTTGCTGCAGTCCCGGGTGGTTGGAAGACAGCTTGTCACATGACTAGTCACATGAGGAAGCAAGGTTGACATCGCTTGTCGTTTGCTCCTGCTCCAGTGCCCTGTGGGACATCGAGACTGGCCAGCAGACAACCACGTTTACTGGACACACTGGAGATGTCATGAGCCTTTCTCTTGCTCCTGACACCAGACTGTTTGTCTCTGGTGCTTGTGATGCTTCAGCCAAACTCTGGGATGTGCGAGAAGGGATGTGCCGGCAAACTTTCACTGGCCATGAGTCGGACATTAACGCCATCTGTGTGAGTTGGGTGAAGGTGTGGGGATGGGGCCTCCACTAGCTAGTGGTTTAGATTGCTAAATTTTAAGCTTTCTGGATTAGATGTAAGAACTCTCTTTTCCATGCAACCTGATTTACAGATACATGTACAAAAAACTCCCTGTGGAAAACTTGGCTGGGATCTGATCTGACCTTTGTAGGCTGGCTGGCTCTGTGTTGACTATCGACTTCACAGTGTGACAGGCCCTTTTTTTACCCTAGGGGTGACCAGTGGTTGGGATCATGGAGCTTTCCTCTAGTTGAGGGAGGGAGACAGACAGTAAAATAACTCAGGCCATCAGTGAGCCCTGTGCCAGTCAGGGGCATGGCTAAACCAAGGAGCCTGCCCTCCTGCCCTAACTGCTTGGCAGTGTTTTCAGCCTCTGGCCTCCGTCCGGTTGGTTGGGGCAGGACTTTGCTGCACTGCTGAGCACTGCCCTAGTCAGTCCTTCCTTCCTCCCTGAGGTTAGTCCTGGTGGCTGGCAGCGGTAGAGAATCGCAAGCCCATCAGCGATGACCACGTTCTCACTCTTCCACTGGAATAAAATCTACTCTTTGGGGACGACAACCACAGTGTCTGAGAACACAGTGTCTGGTGCTTCCCTAGTACAAACCCACTCCCATCCCAGTCCCCGAGTAGCTCCCTGGGGTCCCAACATTACCATCACCCTGTTCTTGCCAGAGCCTGATCTTGCTAATCTTTTCCTACTATATCAGCAGCAGCCCTACCATTGAGCAGTCGTATTTCCAATATTTCCTTTTGAGCATTTACACACCTTGATTTGCTTTGTCTTTCAAGTTCTTTCCAAATGGCAATGCGTTTGCCACCGGCTCAGATGACGCCACCTGCAGGCTGTTTGACCTTCGTGCAGACCAGGAGCTCATGACTTACTCACATGACAACATCATATGTGGGATCACCTCTGTCTCCTTCTCCAAGAGTGGGCGCCTCCTCCTCGCTGGGTACGACGACTTCAACTGCAATGTCTGGGACGCACTCAAAGCCGACAGGGCCGGTAGGTGGCCTTTCCCTGTCTCCAGGATGCTCAGGTGTATCTGCAGGGTGGACAGGATACACTTCAGCTGAAATATTTGGGTTTGAACTAGTTGGGCTGTGGCACAGCAGAGGTGATGGTGACAGGCTGCAGCCTGGTGACTGCTCAGTATAAAGTATAGGTTTTGCATTTCACAGGTAGGTGTGTTACTGTCAAGTGTATTAAAACACAGTTTGTACAAAAGAAGAGAACTTCCTTATTAAAAATGGACATTTAGGCCTTTGAACTTTGAAGATGTTGACACTTTTAGAATCTTCCGGCTCCATTCATCTCAGTGCCTGGGAGGATGGAAGAAGGGAGTGTGACTCTGGGTCTGTTGAGCCCTCTAGTGCCGCTGAGGGCCAAGGCAGCCAGCACAGACCGAGGGAGAGAACACACTCTCTGGCCCCTCAGCTCTTACACCAGCAGCTGCAGGAGGTATAGGAGGGTTTCTGAAAGAACCTTCAGGTCCCTCTGAGAGGAAGTGAATTATTCCAGCCAGTGATTATTAAGCCATGACTGCTAGGAGCATTGACACTGTGTGCCGGCCCCAGTGGTCTCTCAGCGGCTGTCCCAGCCCTCTGCGTTCTGTGCCTTACGCTAGTCTCTAGCGATCACAGACGCATGAAAAACAGCCCACGTCCATATACTCTTGTGTTGTAGGTAGGGGTTAGTTTGATTTTTTGATTGTGGTTTTTGCTTTTTTGTTGTTGTTCTTTATGTTTTCATATTGTTGCTCCACTTTTTACTTAAGCTTCTGAAGTGGTTGCTGAGAATTTGGTGCACAGGCTTGTTTACAGGGCGGGGCGTGCCTTCTAAGTGTGTGTTGTCCTTGTCATCCCACTATCCTGTGCTCTCTGTGAACACTTCCCAGTGGCTGTAGTTTTTAGAGAAAGAGTACATCAATCTTCACTGTGCTTTATAAAGGCTGGCGATAGGCTTCCCTTTAATTTCCGTGTGGACAGAACTTGCTTTTCCTTCCTAGTGTCCTTCCCTTGCTACCCACGGCATTGCAGGGACTTGACCATGGGGGTTCTGGGTCTTGTACCATCAGAGACAAGCTGTTCAGCCCTTGTCACGGTGTCACAGGTAAGCTTTGGAGTGACTGTGCTGCTGTTTGCTCCCAGGTGTCTTGGCTGGGCATGACAACCGCGTCAGCTGCCTGGGGGTGACCGACGATGGCATGGCTGTGGCGACAGGGTCCTGGGACAGCTTCCTCAAGATCTGGAACTAACGCCAGTAGGTAATGGAGCAGCCCAATGTCCTTCCCTGAATGGAGCTGTGTGTCTCCCATAAAACCTGGAGTTGTGGTTCATGATTTCTAGGTTAATTCTGATGTAGCGTCGATTTGGAATTGTGGTGAGGCAAACACTTGTGTAGATCTGAAGTAGTACGCCCTCAGCTGCAGACTCAATGCAGCAAGGGAAAGAGCAGTAGCAGCTGATTGTTCATCTGAATTTAGATTTTCTGTCTCTTTTTACTTTATCTAAACTCTGTTTGAAACAGCCTGTGGATGCCACGGTGACTGGAAGACCATTCCAACCTTGAAGCGTTACAGTGATAGCATATCCTATCCAACCATACTAACGTGGACACCCTACACCTCCCCTCAGAACTTCAAAAGGGCAAGATCTTTTTTCCTTCACTTATTGCTGAAACCAAGAGCACAATTCCCATTAAGAGAAGGATCTCTGTGCTGTAAACTAAAACAAATTGTGCATTCCTTCCGGGGCCATCGTCTTTGTTTTCTTTTTTGTCTTGAATGAATTTTAAAAGGAAATACTGTAATAAAAATGTTAACCAGAAGGTAAACTTGAGTGTAATTGTGAGACAGGCACACCTTTTCACTAGTTATTTGAATTCTAGACCAGTGATCCTGTTTTGTGATGTTCATGCAAAACAAGATGAGGACTTTATCTTGTAACTGTTTCTGAATTTCAAGTTGTGTTTGTAGCAGGATTTTGGAAGCATTCGTATTTCCTTTTAAAAATGTATTCCTTTATGTTCAATAGTTAAATAGATCCAGAGAGTCTAGGGCAGCGTCTTTTACATTGTCAATGATGTAAATTTAGTCCCTGGGTTTTTTTTGTCTGGTGTCACAGGTAATTGTTGCACACAAACACGGCATAGCAAAGAATGACATTGAGAAGTACAGTAACCAAGCACATGCTGTCGATGGTCATGAGTGCGTGATCAGAGAGTCCTTCACCTTTTCTGAATAGTACACTCAGATCCAGCACCCATCTTCCTCCTGACCCAGCTCTCTGCCTTCTCAGTTCAGTTTTTAATCTCCCCTTGGGTTTCCTTGTGAAGTTGGAGGAAAGTTTATGTGATAGCCTAACACTACCCCACCCCCACCCCCAACTATCAGGAACCTCTGTTTTCAAGAGAGATGCCTGTCCTGTGCTTGGATAGTCAGTTGATTATTTGTGTATGAAACAATGTACAAATCAATGTTTTGAAAATAATGATCTCAGACTTTCTAAGTTAAATTTTTAAAAATTTGATTGTTTGCCATATTGGGTGGGTTTACTCTTAGAATCGCATGCTGTAGAAATGCTCAAAAGTGCATATAGGACTCAGTCCTTAGATGTTCTTTTTCTTTTAATAACCTCTTAAATTAACCATCGCGGCTCTGTCCACTTATTGTTGCTACTCTGTGCACACATATCGGAAGCAGTACAGTAAGCAGCTCTACACGCTTGAGTAGCGGAAAAAGGCACCGTTTTATTTCTTAAAAAACAGTCCTGTTGCAGACGATTGCTGTTGGATTCAGCGGGGGGGTGGGGAGGGGGAGAGCAGAAGGTGGAGACCTCCCTTCCTCTTCATCAGTTCCTTGTGGCCTGTCTGTCCCACAGAACAAGCCTTTTGCATCTGAGGCAGATAATTTTTATAATGTGCAGATTTCCCTGGTTTTCATTTCAAGTCCAGTGTTCAGCTAGCTGCAGCATTTGGACAGCAGGGTTCTGTGCCCCCCCCCCCCCCCCCCCC